CCTAAATAATTACCTCACTACACATGTTCCTGTCAGACAGATGCTCTCTTTCAGTTTTATAGCAACACTCAAGTTCAGTTCAGAGAATCAAAGAAAGACTGCTTTCATTTCCTCTTCTCTAAAGCTCTGCCATGGCCTCTGTGGATTCTGACCATATGTTTTAAACCAAATACAAGAAAGCCTTTCCTTTGTAGTGTTGCTTTCTCAGTGAAACTCACTGTGATCCAAGTTTTATGACCACCAACAGAGGCTTGATAGAGCTTTTTAAGTTTGGGCATCAGACTGAAATTTACATGTAACTGCTTTACCTGTTAAACTTGTATTTCTCCATGTGGAAAAAAAGAGTTTTATATATCAAGTCAACATCTCTGCCTCAGTAAAATGACAAGTAGCTTGCACTATGAGACAGGTGGGTGTCACCTCAATCTCTGCAGGAGACATCGCAGGATAGGATGAATGAGTACAAGTCTCTGCCTGAAAGCAACACAACAGGGTGAAATCTGCTATGTGCACGCATACATGTCAAGTCAGTGCACAAGAGAAGCTAGAGAAAATCCGGACCCAAAGAATGACCATAACACACTTACATACATAACAAAACTTTATAAATAAATAAATACTGAATAAATGTGTCATACAGCCATCAAGTCCACAGAAATGATGTGCACATAAGGTCAGTAACTGAGCTCCAGTCTGACACATAGCTCTACCTACCCACACCTGTCACTCACTCTAGCGTCAGTACCAGTACTCAGTTCTGAAAAATCAAAACTTTATCGTGCATCCTGAGTCAGATTTATCTTATGATACTTGTTTTAAAAGATTTTTTAATTCTTTATCTATTATTCATCTATTATTCAGTCACACGCCAGCTCTTCTTATGTAGATCCAGGATCACTTGCACTTAGCACTATACAATTTACTATCATTAAATGGATTTCCTCGATAGCTCAGAGGGACGGGATAGCAAACATTAGGACTGCTTTGAAAGGAAAAAATTTCCACTAAGAATAAAAATGCCTGGGACTAGAACTCTCTTCAGGCAAAATGAATTTACACTTTTTGCTGAATTAATCTCGATAAATAGTTAGAACTCTGAAGTAGGTCGTCTTCATTTTCATGCTAAATTTTGAAGGTGATCGCAGGGATGCAGGAGCAACACTCACAACCTGCACACCCCTGCTGCATAGCTTTGCGGCACTCAGGTGACATTATGCTGCAAACAGATAATTTATGGTGGCACACACGCTACTACATGTCACACCGAGTCCTCTATTGGTGATTCTTACTCCGTAACACAAACCCCAGCCTTCATCTGCCACACTAAGGGCAATGAGCTTTAGTGCATTAGCATCGTCCCACGCTTTTGGCCCTGGGCCACGCATATTGTATGAGCAGGTAACCTACATATACCCATGCTTCTGTCAGCGGAGGTCCCCTGATCAGACAGGTTCAGTGTGCAGAGTTTAATGGTGTCCTGGAGTGTGTATTATAGTGTTTAGTCAATTTATTCTCCTGTCAAAAGAGATCAAGGTCGTGCTGCTTTGACTTAAAAGTGCTTTTCAAACAGCTGGCAGATGCTTGGGGTGTGCGCTCTTCAAATGAGTTTTGGAATGTAAAAATACTGATATATACAGTGATGGGTGACAGGGCGCGATCAGTGCGAGCTAAAGCGTTTGCTCATAAATTTTAAGCATTTCAAGAAAGCCATATAAAATGGGTTTTATGGATCTTATCTTTCAGACCGAGCTTGTTAACTTGTGTGACATAACCAGTCCATCCATGATTTTATGGAGTTGCAGTAAAATATAAGCGGAAAAACTGGATAGACGCTGACAAACAAACTTTCGCTGATGACAAGGAATGGGAGGTGTTGGTGTCGGGATTTACTAGCAGCATAAAATCAGCCAAATGATGAGGGGAAATTTTAATCAAGGCTGAGGCAGAAACAGTCATGAATAATTTTGGCTTTGCACCATGTTTAACTGACAGAATATTCATCGAGGCTGATCAATACTTAAGCGCACAGTTTAAGCTTTCTGTTTGACAAAAATGTTTGTGGTCTCCCTCTTTTGGTATGTGTGTGTGTGTGTGTCCCAGATTCTTATCGGGGAGGTGACCAGTTTTTTTGTGAAGACAGAAGGCGCTCAGGAGAAGACCATAGTGACGGCTGACTGCTGTTACTTCAACCCTCTCCTCCGTAGGATCGTACGTTTTCTGGGTCAGTCACAGTCTTAAAGATCAGAGCTTCTTCTGCTTTAACTAATAAAGCCTCTCTTCTCTGGGGTGAAGCCTCATTAAGGCTTACACCACTACATCTCTATCTTACAGTATGTAGACTAAACACAAAAAGCCCTTGTCCTTAACATGAGTCTCCTCTGGACGCATTTTCGTTAGCCTTATTTTT